GTTTTGTTGCCTCCGATAAAGAAAGTTGGAAAGTGGTATAATATGTGGCTTGGACACATATTTACAGTTCTGTGTGTGTGTGTGTGTGTGTGTGTGTGTGTGTGTGTGTGTGTGTGTGTGTGTGTGTGTGTGTGTGTGTGTGTGTGTGTGTGTGTGTGTGTGTGTGTGTATGTGTGTGTGTGTGTGTGTGTGTGTGTGTGTGTGTGTGTGTGTGTGTGTGTGTGTGTGTGTGTATGTGTGTGTGTGTGTGTGTGTGTGTGTGTGTGTGTGTGTGTGTGTGTGTGTGTGTATGTGTGTGTGTGTGTGTGTGTGTGTGTGTGTGTGTGTGTGTGTGTGTGTATGTGTATGTGTGTGTGTGTGTGTGTGTGTGTGTGTGTGTGTGTGTGTGTGTGTGTGTATGTGTGTGTGTGTGTGTGTGTGTGTGTGTGTGTGTGTGTGTGTATGTGTGTGTGTGTGTGTGTGTGTGTGTGTGTGTGTATGTGTATGTGTGTGTGTGTGTGTGTGTGTGTGTGTGGTGTGTGTGGTGTGGTGTGTGGTGTGTGTTTGTGTGTGTGTGTGTGTGTTTGTGTGTGGTGTGTGTGTGTGTGTGTGTGTGTGTGTGTTCACCTAGTTGTGTTTTGCGGGGGTTGAGCTTTGCTCTTTCGGCCCGCCTCTCAACTGTCAATCAACTGTTTACTAAATACTTTTTTTCCCCACACCACACACACACACCCCAAGGAACAGCCCGTGACAGCTGACTAACTCCCAGGTACCTATTTACTGCTAGGTAACAGGGGCATTCAGGGTGAAAGAAACTTTGCCCATTTGATTCTGCCTCGTGCGGGAATCGAACCCGCGCCACAGAATTACGAGTCCTGCGCGCTATCCACCAGGCTATGAGGCCTCTGTGTGTGTGTGTGTGTGTGTGTGTGTGTGTGTGTGTGTGTGTGAGAGAGAGAGAGAGAGAGAGAGAGAGAGAGAGAGAGAGAGAATATTCGACCAATCATCTTAAGTGTCTGTTAACTCATTTTTTCCTTAATGATTCGTATAATTTGTCTATAATTGCGTCTATCGCCACTGCCACGCTTTTCACAACAACAAGAAGAACTAACTACCACTACTACTAACACTACTACTAGTACTACCATTGCTACAACAACAAGAGCAATTAATGTTGTCATCACCACCACCACCACCATCTTCCACCACTATTCACCACCTATTACATCTTGCCAGCTACCACAATCACCACTACAATCACCACCACTCGCCCTCCACCACTCATCCAGTCAACAGCCATTATATCTGACATTTCAATGAGCTTTCTGGCGTTCTCAGCTGATGAGTACTTTCTCTATTTTAAAATAACTGCGTCTTAACTTTGGCTAACTCAAGTCCACCCTTAGTCAAGTGGAACTCACACAAGGGGCAAGAGCTTCAAGCTCAACAAGCCACAATTTAGGTCAGAAAATTCTCTCGGTGCCTTTTCCCTTCCCATAGCTTATAAACCCATGGAACCGCCTACCCGCCAAAGCCGGTAATACCATGACAATACCCCGGTTTGAAATTTAGCTCTCAAAAAAAAAAAATTCCACGTGAGCAATGGGGGGGGGGAAGGAGGAGGACCTTTGACAAGCCGCCGGCTTTCTGTCTCCGTCGAGGCCACTAGAGATGACCCCTCCAGGTAAATCCAGCTAAATCCCATGTAGTACCAAATGACCTAACCATGTAATTCTTAGGAATTACATGGTTAGGTCAAGGAATTTATGGTTACACTTAAGCCTATGAGATATAACGCGATTAAAGAACACGAATTTGTCTATCAAGTAGGTCAACATACACATATACATACACATACTCAAAGAAATCACACTAACGTTATGTGTATATATATATATATATATATATATATATATATATATATATATATATATATATATATATATATATATATATATATATGCGAACAAGCCTGAATGGTCCCCAGGACTATATGCGTGAGTTAGTGTGAGTTTTCATTCATATATATATATATATATATATATATATATATATATATATATATATATATATATATATATATATATATATATATATATATCAGTGGGGAAAGACTAAAGCCTGGAGGAATGCCGTTCATGTATAGAGATGAGAGAGAGAACACTATCTAAGCCTCGTTGGAGTCTCCCGATATTTTCTATGGATACTGAATACTTTCTAGTTATTGGTGGTATTTTCTAATTTTTTTTACTGTCTGATTTTCTCGTTCTCGCTCTTTTAATATATGTATGGCTGTCTGTTTCTCTCTCTCTGTCTCTCTCTCTCTCTCTCTCTCTGAACTCTCTCTTTCCATGGGAGACACAGAATACACATATTTCTTCTTATCTTTCGTATTTTCTATACTTCTCCTTCCATATCATCCATGGAACTCAATTCCTCCTTCTACTCTTCCTCCTGTTCCTCCTCCTCCTCCTCCTTCCTTAAACTTATGATAGCTAAAGGTCACTAATTGAACTTTCAAGGAATCGTTGTTTGGTGTCCTTGTCATTGCAGTTGAGCGTGACTTTGCTTGTGTTTCTTGTTTGTGCTTGTGTATAGACATTCCGGGCGGAGTGGCGGACCTGTTTGTTTACATCTGATGATTAGGTGGAGGAGTGTGCCCGTTTTCTATGGTTTACAGTGGGCGTTAATTTGGATGGCGTGGGTTGCTGGATATACAGTGGGCGAATAGGGGGCAGGGTGTGTGTGTGTGTGTGTGTGTGTGTGTGTATGTGTGTGTGTGGGCGCGTGTGTGTGTGTGTGTGCGTGTGTGTGTGTGTGTGTGTGTGCGTGTGTGTGTGTGTGTGTGTGTGTGCGTGTGTGTGTGCGTGTGTGTGTGTGGGTGTGTGTGCGTGGCTGAATATTGTTGTATAGGTGTACACGGGTATGCTAAAAGGTGGATACTTTATACACATTATACAGAGTCATGCTTCGTATAATGTATTATGCTTTGTATAATGTAATGTATAATCGTTGTATAATTGTATAAAGGGGGTATCTAAGTGGATAGTTTACAATGAGAGGAAGATAGCAGAGCAAAAATAAAGCTTTAGCTTGACTCAACGAGTACCTGGTTACATACAGAAGTTATAAGCTATACACAGTAGCTATAGGATACACACATCAGCTATAGGCTATACACAGCAGCAATAGGCTACACATAGCAGCTATAGGCTATACGCAGCAGCAATAGGCTACACATAGCAGCTATAGGCTATACACAGCAGCAATAAGCTACACATAGTAGCTATAGGCTATACGCAGCAGCAATAGGCTACACATAGCAGCTATAGGCTATACACAGCAGCAATAGGCTACACATAGCAGCTATAGGCTATACACAGCAGCAATAAGCTACACATAGTAGCTATAGGCTATACGCAGCAGCAATAGGCTACACATAGCAGCTATAAGCTACACACAGCAACTATAGGCTATCCATAGCAGCTATAGGCTACACACATCAGCTATAGCATATACAAAGCAGCTATAGGCTCCATACAGCAGCTATAGGCTCCATACAGCAGCTATAGGCTCCATACAGCAGCTATAAGCTACACACATCAGCTATAGGCTCCATATAACAGCTATAGGCTATCCACAGCAGCTATAACATACACACAGCAGCTATAGGCTCCATATAACAGCTATAGGCATCCACAGCAGCTATAGCATATACACAGCAGCTATAGGCTCCATATAGCAGCTATAGGCGACAGACAACAGCAATGATACCTACGATTCCAAACAGTCGCGAAAAAAGATATCAACGTTTTGGCTAAAACATAAAATTTCTAGATTTTCTTATAGTCCCATTCTCCCCTGTACGATAACCTCGCCCTACTTAGATATGACTTATTAGTAGCATTGTCCACAGTGCTATCGCTCTGAAATACACGATGATAACACAGCAAGATAACAAGTACACTTTCTCTCTCTGATTCTTAACTGTGAGGCCCGCTTGTTTTTCTCCACCGGGGAATGACAATTACGGGAATTAATTATTTGTTTTTTATCATACGGTAGCTGCCCTCGTAAATTACTCCTACGTCTGGCACCGGTGCGTTTGTTTACATGTCGTCCGGCAGCGAGGCGTTTTAGGATGAACTATTTTATATTGTTGTTGTTATTTAGGTCTAGATAAGATGTTTATATATATATATATATATATATATATATATATATATATATATATATATATATATATATATATATATATATATATATATATATATATATATATGTCGTACCTAGTAGCCAGAACGCACTTCTCAGCCTACTATGCAAGGCCCAATTTGCCTAATAAGCCAATTTTTCATGAATTAATTGTTTTTCAACTGCCTAACCTACCTAACCTAACCAAACCTAACTTTTTCGGCTATCTAACCTAACCTAACCCATAAAGATAGGTTAGGTTAGGTAGGGTTGGTAAGGTTCGGCCATATATCTACGTTAATTTTAACTCTAATAAAAAAAATTGACCTCATACATAATGAAATGGGTAGCTTTATCATTTCATAAGAAAAAAATTAGAGAAAATATATTAATTCAGGAAAACTTGGCTTATAAGGCAAATTGAGCCTTGCATAGTAGGCTGACAAGTGCGTTCTGGCTACTAGGTACGACATATATATATATATATATATATATATATATATATGTATATATATATATATATACACATTTCATTGGTGCGAATATATAAGCAGGAAAGAGGTGAGGTGAGGTACAATTCTTTAATGAGATAACAGGATATTAATAAGGAATTAGTGAAATAAATGTGTATCAATGTGCTTAAACGAATCTCTAATCATTTAATGTATTTTCATGCATATCTCTAGTGCAGCTAGAGATATGCTAGAGAAATGCAGCTAAAGATATGCAATGGGAAATCATTTTTATCTCACTCTTTCTCAAAGTCTTTCTCTCTCTCTCTCTCTCTCCTGTAGACTACAGCTCTGGCCTCTGCTCTCCTCCCTCTGATGGTGGTGCCGTTGGGTCTTTGTACCAGAAACAAGTCAGTGAAACGACTGCTACTCCAGTCCCTCGAGTCGTTCAAGGGCTTCAGGAACGACTTCTCCGGCAGTGGTGGAAGATATGTGTGAGTGACTGGTTTTATTTGCGTGCATTGGCTTGCTTTCTGGAGTGTCTGGGCATGTTTCCTAGAGTGCCTGGGCATGTCTCCTAGAGTACCTGAGCATGTCTCATAGAGTACCTGAGCATGCCTCCTAGAGTACCTGGGCATGTCTCCTAGAGTACCTGAGCATGCCTCTTAGAGTACCTGAGCATGTCTCCTAGAGTACCTGGGCATGTCTCCTAGAGTACCTGGGCATGTCTCCTAGAGTACATGGGCATGCCACCTAGAGTTCTTAGACTTGCCTCCTGGCGTGCAATGATATGTTCTATTATTGAACTTCCTAAAAGATTAGTTTTTCGGAGAATTTGAATTAAAAAAAAATAATAATAGAAAATTACTGATAGGAATTGGTCCGAAAACCCTGACCTGAGAACATTTTGGGCTTCAACTTTCCTTACTAAAACCACTTATGGAGTAAGTGGCCAATAAGTGACACTTATGGGCTACTTATTTTCCTGACTTTAACCACTTTAACTATAATATCTTTGGGGGTAGGGTGTTGGAATCATGCCAGCATCCTCAGACTCCCCCCAGATATCTGCCAGCTCCAAGGTTTCTTCCATCGATGTATTACATCATTTTGAACTAACTGTGTAAGTCAACTCAAGTCACCCCCTTCAGAAATCTGCTCAAAACCAGGTAGAACATCAATTTTATATCAAATAACGGCGTGGGTGATTTGATTCACACGAATCATCGGAGATTCGAGGACAGCGAAATCGCAATTTTTGTGGCCCCATGTCCGAATCTCCGACGATCCAAGTGAATGATTTTTTTAGTTTAACATGACCCTGCTGTTCTTCGGCAGGTTCTTGTACCACGTGGGCGATAGCGAGCGACAGGAGGAACGCAATGACGATGGGGAAGTTCGCGGCCAGTATGCCTTTGTCGCTCCCGAAGGAGACGAATACCATTTCAAGTACGACGCTGACAAGGACGGCTACCGCGTCGAGAGCGAGGCCTTGCCGGAAGCCCCCGAGGACACCGAGGACGTCAAGAGAGCCAAGGAAGCCTTCTTTCTGGCCTACAAGAAGGCCCTCGAACTCGCCGAAGGAGATGACTACGAGTACTCAGAGGAGAGCCACGAGTCCAACGAGGAGGAGTCTAGCGAGGAGTCGGACGAGGACGACGAGGAATCAGGCGAGGACGAGGACGAGGACAGCCATCAGAGACTCTTCCAAGGGACTACGAACTTCGAGACACGCTTCCCATACCCATACATTACCAAGTAAATCTCCAGTTAAAGGAACCGAACCTCAGGACTTATCCAATCTGATCATACCTATATAGTCTGTCCAGCATCCTCCTAGCCAGCCGTTTTCCAATCTCCTAGCCAGCCGTTCTCCAATCTCCTAGCTAGCCCCTCGCCAATCTCCTAGCCAGCCATATTTCTTTACAATTGAATATCGAATAAACGAAAAGATTTTCCCGTTTTCCTTCAGAGACAATACCCGACTTTAGGTAAAAGTTATGGGTAAAATCTCTGAACTATTTTCTTATTATATATTTATAGAGAAATATTTATTTATAAAATTATATTAGAAACTGCCATGACTGTTGTATGAATGTGTTTGAGTGCGTGAATGAGGAATGTATAATAATATTGCTTTTGTAATAAATATAAATGTTATACGTGTTGTTTTAATTGTTTTCTTTGGTGGGTTAATTATTCATAGAAAATGTATAAAGAGATAAACTTACTCAAACATCGACACTAGTATATTCACGTCGCACACACACACATACTCACACGCACACCCACACACACACACACACACACACACACACACACACACACACACACACACACACACACACACACACACACACACACACACACACACACACACACACACACTGAATAATTTATTCAGGGTGTGTATATACCTGTGTATATATTTATAAGGGAGGATATATAGTGTGTATATATTTATAAGGGAGGATTTAACCCTGTTCACTCCTGATCTTGAAGACAACAGATGAGACAAGTGTCTTTAGTGGTGACTGACGTCAGGTAGTCAGTTTCTAAGCCTTAGACGTCACTTAGATGTCCCGTAGACGTCTCTAGTGGTGACTGACGTCAGGTAGTCAGTTTCTAAGCCTTAGACGTCACTTAGACGTCCCGTAGACGTCTCTAGTGGTGACTGACGTCAGGTAGTCAGTTTCTAAGCCTTAGACGTCACTTAGATGTCCCGTAGACGTCTCTAGCGGTGACTGACGTCAAGTAGTCAGTTTCTAAGCCTTAGACGTCACTTAGATGTCCCGTAGACGTCTCTAGTGGTGACTGACGTCAGGTAGTCAGTTTCTAAGCCTTAGACGTCACTAAGATGTCCCGTAGACGAGTCGTCATAGACGCTACGAGTTTATTTAATATGCGAGTGAGAGAAAAGTAGTCATTACTAGACAGACTTTTGCTATATGTGACGGTATAACGTTATATTTTCCTATTATGTCAGTGATTTTTATATATTTTTTAGCTAAAACTTAAAATCAAATTCTTATAATATATGTAGATGTTTTTTTATGTCTTCTCTGAATTAGCTCTAGCTCTTTATGCCCAATCGTTATCCTAATAATAAATAAAATAGTTTATGATCTAAACCATTCTTTATCAGTAAATCAAAGAAAATGAGAAAACCTGCCAAGAAACATAAAAAACATATTGCATCTACTTCTTAAACCAATTAATCAACAAAACATTCCGATGTTGCTTTTGAAATACGCAAACAGCATTTTGGTTAAATATGGACTGAAAAAAATAAGAGAATAAGGGGACATAAGAGGTGAATATTAGTGGGGAAAAATGACGAAGCGGCAACTCAAAGGCAACTCCAATGGTGCGCATGCGCATGGCAGTTTAAATCTAACGGTTACCGGTTCTTTGAACTGGAGGCTTCATTACTCAGTGTGTCTTGGTCCAGTGTGGAAGCAGCAGCCTCGGTGGTGGAGCTAAGTGAGGAGAATAGTGTTGTTTTCCAGAATTTCAATATTTTTCTAATTTTTTTTCTTATGAAATGATAAAGCTATCCATTTCACTATGTATGAGTTAATGTTTTTCAATTTGCGTTAAAACTAATGTAGATATATGACCAAACCTAACCTAACCTAACCTAACCTAACCTAACCTAACCTAACACAACTAAGTCAATAAATTATGTTCTTAATATAATATAATAATAATAATTCAAGTAAACTAAATGGAAACAATTTATTGCAAATAAAGAAAATCACTCGGCCTATTAGGCAAATCGGGCCTTGCATAGTAGGCTGAGAAGTGCGTTCTGGCTACTAGGTACCCAACCCGTTCTCGCAAATTCGTAAAGTCAATATTGACTTATTAACTACGTGCATAGGTGATATACTAAACATAATAGATACCCTTAAAAAGATTCATAGAAAACACCGACCTTACCTAACCTTGTTAGTATCTTAAGATAAACATCTTATTGCTTCGTAATTACAATTATTACTTAACCTATACCTATTATAGGTTAGGTAATAATTGTAATTACGAAGCAATAAGATGCTTATCTTAACATACTAAGTAGGTTAGGTAAGGTCGGTGTTTTCTATGAATCTTTTTAAGGGTATCTATTATGTTAAGTATGTCACCTATGCACATATTTAATAAGTCAATATTGACTTATTAAATTTGCGAGAACGGGTTGAGGTACGACATATATATATATATATATATATATATATATATATATATATATATATATATATATATATATATATATATATATATAATCTTATGGTAATATATACATCTGGTTATATTCTTTTATGGTGAGGTGATTAGGTAACATATGGATGAATGGCATTACATTGCGGATATTAATAAGGTATTAAATGTACCAACACAGAGTGACATATTGGCAACTTATGTTCATCTGGCTGCTTCCGTTCCTGTTACAGGGTCTTTCAGTCCAGCTTCTGCGTTGGTCCGGGGTCTTGAAGTGGGTAGAGCGTAACTGTATGTTAACTGGTTATTGAAATTGAAATTGAAATAAGTTTATAGAGGTAAAATACACACAAAGGGATGAGGTAGCTCAAGCTATTCTCACCCCGTTCAGTACATCGTGTTAATACATACATAGACACACATCACAAACAATAAACATATTACCAAACATTCTGAGAGATAAACATATACATTTCCTTCTTTACACAAGTAAACTGGTTATTGATGGCTGGTCTAGATTTCTTAATGTGCTTCACTGATGTCTAATCTTCTATTGTCATTGTATCTATCAATTATTTCAGTGTTGTTTGTGAAAATATTCCTGGTGATTGTTTCGTTGTGTGTGGTGATTATGTGTTCCTTGATGGAGTAGTGTTGTTTGTGCATTGTTAATGGCCTAGATAGAGAGAGACGTTGTTGACCAGACCACACACAAGAAGGTGAAGGGACGACGACGTTTCCGTCCGTCCTGGACCATTCTCAAGTCGATTGTGAATGTTGTCAGACGTTGAGAGAATGTGAATGAGAGACGTTGTTGTCTTGCCTATATATTGAGATCATTGGGGCTGACAACCCCCAAGTGGGCACCTGAAGACGTAAACAACCTTGGTCTCTTTCCAAGACGTTTTTCTTGGTGTTGGGAATAAATAGTCGGGATTATTAATTAGCGCTAACCTGCTAATGAAAAATTCTCCCTACTTTACACCCCCACAGGACTATATTCCTCCAGCTTTTACACCAAACTTTTGTGGGTTCGGATCTTTATTCGAGCGTTTATGAATCGTGTTGATATTCCCAAATGGTTCTGCTCCTAACTTGAATACCTGGTTGATGCCTGGTTGATGGGGTTCTGGGAGCTCTTCTACTCCCCAAGCCCGGCCCGAGGCCAGGCTTGACTTGTGAGTCAAGATCGTACCTCGATCAAGAATGTACCAAGATCAATGTACCAAGATCAATGTACCAAGATCAATGTACTAAGATCAATGTACCAAGATCAATGTACTAAGATCAATGTACTAAGATCAATGTACCAAGATCAATGTACCAAGATCAAGAATACCTCGATCCTGTAACCCGTTTGTTCTACGTCTCACCATCGAGTTAAGACTGAGACACACGAGTCTCCCTAGGGAAGATCCCAGCTGCAAGATATCACAGCCTGGCTTCCAGGTCGTGTTGTGATCCTCCTCAGAGAGTTCCTCCAGTAGTGTCTTGAACCATCCATTACTGCGACGGCCTGAACGACAAGACCTAACCCAAGTGGAACCTCACTAAGGGGTCGATACAGCTGTGGGATAATAGTCCATTACCACAATCGACTTGAGAATGGTCCAGGGCGGACTGAAACGTCGTCGTCCCTTCACCTTCTAGTGTGTGGTTCGGTCAACATTTTTCAACCACGTTATTGTGACTCTTCATATGCATAAATCCCAGCACCTTGGTGGCCTAATTTCGTGTATTGATGTAGGGAGCCGGTCGGCCGAGCGGACAGCACACTGGACTTGTGATCCTGTGGTCCTGGGTTCGATCCCAGGCGCCGGCGAGAAACAATGGGCAAAGTTTCTTTCACCCTATGCCCCTGTTACCTAGCAGTAAAATAGGTACCTGGGTGTTAGTCAGCTGTCACGGGCTGCTTCCTGGGGGTGGAGGCCTGGTCGAGGACCGGGCCGCGGGGACACTAAAGCCCGAAATCTTCTCAAGATAACCTCTCAAGATAACGGGTCTCAGGTCGCTGCTAGCCGTGACTCCCAGGTTTCTTACACTGTGATCTACTCTTCACTGTATGAATGATGGTTATCTTGAGGTTATCTTGAGATGATTTCGGGGCTTTAGTGTCCCCGCGGCCCGGTCCTCGACCAGGCCTCCACCCCCAGGAAGCAGCCCGTGACAGCTGACTAACACCCAGGTTCCTATTTACTGCTAGGTAACAGGGGCATAGGGTGAAAGAAACTTTGGCCCATTTGTTTCTGCCTCGTGCGGGAATCGAACCCGCGCCGCAGAATTACGAGTCATGCGCGCTATCCACCAGGCTACGAGGCCCCCCTGATGATATAGATCATCACTGTATTTCCCCCTAGGCCGAGGAAGATGTATTTATCAATGTTCAAATCCATTTGCCTTTTATCAGCTCATCACTGATACTTAAACATGTGTCTTTTGAAGTCTTTGATTGCTTCCTTAGTGTTGCTTGCAAGCTTGTTTGATATTAGTAGGTTCTCCAGTATCCAGGTCTTTGTTGGAGATTACGAAAAAGTAGAAAGCCCAGGAGTACTCTATTAGTACATCCATCAGAGCCTTCACTAGTACATCCATCAGAACCTCCACTAGTACACCCATCAGAGCCTCCACTAGTACATCCATCAGAACCTCCACTAGTACACCCATCAGAGCCTCCACCAGTACACCCATCAGAGCCTCCACCAGTACATCCATCAAAGCCTCCACCAGTACATCCATCAGAGCCTTCACTAGTACATCCATCAGAGCCTCCACTAGTACACCCATCAGAGCCTCCACCAGTACATCCATCAAAGCCTCCACCAGTACATCCATCAGAGCCTTCACTAGTACATCCATCAGAGCCTCCACCAGTACACCCATCAGAGCCTCCACCAGTACATCCATCAAAGCCTCCACTAGTACATCCATCAGAGCCTTCACTA